GATATTTCTCCAGAGTCCATTTGCTGACATAGTCTACCCTAAGTCTCTGTTTGCCCAGATATTCACTGCCAACACTTGGTTGGGGGTACTTAATCAATTTGTTCTGTCTTCCATCCTCTGTTGTGGTACCAGGTATCCTGTGCAGACCCAAAGCTTTGCAATATCCTCCATGTCTAATGGAAATGCTGTAACTGCTCCATCTAAGCTACTGAGGCGGTCCAACTCTGGCACATGCATTCAATGGTCAGACCACTGAACCTGCAAATCTCTCCATGGTTGGAGTTCTGAGTCCAGCTATTCAGTAGAGGGAATCACCATAGAAATTTCATCTGTTGTGATCCCAGATCTGATTCTTGCATGTTTGCCAGTACAGGGTCTAGTACAGTGTATCACCCCAGTTGTTTCCATGTCTTTGCTATTGTAGACTGTGCTGCTGTAAATACAGGATTACAGATCCTCTTCTCGTATGCAGATTTCATTTCCTTTGGGTGTATTCCTAGGAGTGAGATAGCTGGGTCATATGGCTGGTTTATTTGCAGTTCTCTAAGCACTCTCCATACTGATTTCCATAGTGGTTGTGCTAGCCTGCACTCCCACCAACAGTGAAGGAGGGAAACCTTCTCCCCACATGCATGCCAGCAGGTGTTGTTAGCAGAGTTCCGAATGTAGATCAGTCTCACTGGAGTCAGGTGGAACCTCGATGTGGTTTTCATTTTTATCTCCCTGATGGTTAGGAGCCTGAGCATCTGAGCATCTTTTTGTATGTCATTTAGCCTCTTGAATCTGTTCTTTTGAAATATGTCAGTTTATTTCCTTTGCCCATTTCTTCAAACTTTTTTTTTTTTTTTACTGTCCCTGGTTTTCTGAAACTCTTTGTGAACCCTGGATATTCCTCTATCATTTGTGTAGTGTTCAAAGATTTTCTCCCATTCTGTTGGCTTCTTCTTCACTTTGTTAATTGTTTCCTTTGCTGTACAGAAGCTTTCTAGTTTGCCGTAGTCCCATTAGTTTATTTTGTCTTTAACTGCCTGTGTTTTTGGCATCTCTTCTAATAAGTCTTTCCTCACTTCTATTTCTTTGAGAGAGCTTCCTATGTTTTCCTTTAATAGTTTGATGGTTTCTGGGTGTAGATTAGGTCCCTGATCAATTAAGAGCTGATTTTTGTATAGTGTGACATCATCAAAATGTCCGTATTAGCAAAGTAATATACATATTCAATGCAATCCCAACCAAAATCCCAACAACATTCTTCTCAGAAATAGAAAAGAAGATACAAAAGTTCATCCAGAAAAACAAGAGACCACAAATAGCTAAAACTATCCTGAAGAATAAAAATGAAGCAGGAGAAATTACAATTCCAGACCACAACACATGCTACAAGGCAGTGGTCTTCAAAATGGTCTGGTACTGGTAAAGAAACAGAGAAGAAAACCAATGGAACAGAATAGAAACACCAGAGGGAGCCCCCACATGAATAACCAACTGATGTTTGACAAGAAAACTGATAACAATCCAGGGAAAAGCCTGGTCTCTTCAACAAATGCTGTTGGGACAATTGGATAGCAGCTTGCAGAATTAAGAAGCAAAACCCTCACCTGACATCATTCTATTTTAAAGATTTAGTATTTTGCTTATAACTATGAGCATTTTTATTGACTTTTTCTTATTTTGTGCACAGTGTTCATGTCTTTGCTTAAACTGAGATTATTATTACCTAACACATTGATTTTCATCTTCAGATATTAATATGTAAGAATTAAATTTTGGGGTCTGAAAATGTGATTGCTTTTGTGTGAATTGTGCACTTTGGTATACGATTAGAAAGATCTTTCTCACATAAAGAATTGCTAAATTTATTTGTACTTTTTTGGTTTTCCATTTATTTTTTTATTTTCAAAAGATCTACTTGAAAGGTAGAGTTACACAGAGAGCAATGGGGGAGAGAGAAAAAGAGAGAAAAAGAGATATATATAGAGAGATCCTATATTCACTGGTTTGCTCCCTATATGGCTGTTATAGCCAAGGTGGGGCTCGCTGAAATCAGGAGTGTGGGATTTCATTTGGTTCCCCTACATGGGTGGCAGGGGCCCAAGCACTGTGCTTCCTTTAACTCCTTTCCTAAGCAATTAGAATGGAAATGGATTGGAAGTAGAGCAACTGTGAGTAGAACTAGCACTCATGGGATTCTGGAATTGCAGGAGGAAGATTTAACTCGCTACACCACAACCCCATCCCCTCTTTTTCTATTTATTTAATTTTTTAAAAATTTAACTATCCACTTAAAATCATTTTATTACATTTCTAAGTTAAAAAATCAAATTCATTTTTGTCAATTTTGTTCGGTGTCAGCACCATGTATTGACAAATTTATTCCATGTGGACAATACGGAACCACGGCTAATCTCTCTACTGGATTATTTTATTACATTCATCACTTTGAAGATATTAAGCATTTGTGAAAGCACAACTATGGTTATTCCACTTTTGTGCCTCAGTGACATTCTATGCTGTAGGATTCTACCTTGATGACAGTTGTACTGGAATCTCCTGGTTGTGTTTGCAGAGATACTTGAGCCTCATTTACATTCCTCCATGTACTTCCTTTTGGCAAATTTTTAGGAAACCTCTCATTGATTGATTTATGTCTTTCAACATTAACCTTTACTCTGGGAACAATACCATTTCATTCCAGGGATGTGTCACACAGATATTTGCCCTGCACGTTCTGGGTGGGTCTGAGATGGTGCTACTGATAGCCATGGCCCTGGACAGATATGTGGCCATATGCAAACCCCTCCACTACCTGACCATCATGAACCCACGGATGTGCACTCTGCTTTTGTCTGGAGCTTGGGTTATTGGTCTCCTTCACTCGGTGGCCCAGTTGGCTTTTGTTGTCCATTTGCCATTTTGTGGTCCTAATGAGATTGATAGCTTTTACTGTGACCTTCTTCAGTTTATCAGACTTGCCTGTGCAGACACGAACAGAATGGAATTCATGGTAACTGCCAACAGTGGGTTCATTTCCACCGGCACTTTCTTCTTACTGATGATCTCCTATATTTTCATCCTGGTCACTGTAAGGAAACATTCGTCAGGTGGTTTGTCCAAGGCCCTCTCAGCACACATTGCTGTGGTAAATGGTGTTCTTTGGACCTTGCATTTCAGTTTATGTGTGGCCATTTCCCATAATGTTGGCAAATAAGTTTCTTGCCATTTTATGATCATGATTTTAACTTTATGATTATGCTTATCCTCAGTCCTGCCACCTATCCCTTGAGGAATAAAGATATGAAGAAGGCAATGAAGAGACTGAGTAATTAAGTCCTGAGTTTGAGGAACAACTAAATAATATATGAAAGTGCAAGTCATTCAGTGAATTTTCAAGCTGCTCTAATATCATGGATGATTTTATATTCACATAAATTCAAGAATAAGATGACAGCCATACAAATTGTTTGTTATATTCACCATCATATGGATCAAGTATATGACTTGAATATAGAAGGCCTGGAAATCTTAAATATTTATAGGTGATCTTGGATATTTATAATCAAAATTTGTAATTTGTGACATATTTCAATCTTTGTTTTAAAATTATGTTATATTCCTTATGACATTACAATACAGCTAGTACACATTGTGTGTGTTATTTATTTTTAGTTGCCCACACGTTACTTTTAAAGTTTATCAGAGTACCAAAGCCACATAGTCATAATCAATGCAAATAATTTATTCTATGAACAGATTGAAAGATTTATAACAAAATGAGTGCTCATTGCCATACTTTACATGCACAATCTTTTGTTTCTATTATAAATAATTAATTTCTTTGAAAGAAAGCATCCATAGGTTCCACATTGAGTTACCCGTGTTCATTATTTATAATTTGTGTTGTACAATATTTTAAACTGTCAGTATAAATAATGATTTACATTTTAAACTTTTTGCCGAGTTAACTTTTTTATATTACTCAGAATGGACTATTGGTTATGATGTTACTTTGAATTATTGCTTTAATGCTATTTGCACAATTTTGTTAAGTGAGGAATAGTCTCATGGTGCATCCATAGAAATGTGGTGCAAAAACGTACATTGCTCAACGTGTGGCCTCAGATCTTGAGTCATCTATGTTGAAAGTAGTAACTTAGAGGTAATTGACTGCCCAGAATAACTTGCAGTTTATCTTAATTTCCTATAGCATTTTTTTTTTGCTTGCTAAAAAGAGAAGAAATGCAATCCAAAGCCAACAGACCTTAACATTGTAAGAATGACAAGGAAAAAATTTGTGAACATGTAATTAAGTATAATAGTGAGAAGAATTTCTTCTGCTACTTCATCTTTATTCCAAAGTGTATGGGATGAAGAGAGCCAAACAGGTATCTTCAATATACCATTCTGTACTCGATAGATCAGCTTCTCCTGGGTGATTGCATATGCATTCAGACCACTGAATGCAGTGGTCTTGACACTGTTGCTTCGTTTGTGTTGACATAAGACAAAATTCCTGGTCAGCAGAAATTTGCTACCTAATAATGTAATGGTAAATTAGGCGTTATTTAAACTCACGAATGGTGATTTAGCCTGAAGGTACATATGGTTAGGAAAAGATGTGCATATTAAGAGTACACATTTCTATCTTGTTTCCCGGGGAAAGAGCCCTTCCGCACAGGAAAAAAACATTTTTATTAAATTGAAAATGAGAATGGGCTATGGTGATTTGTGTTTTCACTTAATGTTATTAAAAACACAGAAGATAATTTTGATGAAATGTCCATAAACAAGCGTCATTACTGTTTGGACTTTAGAGAAACATTTCACATTTTCCTAGTTGATTGGAAATGTCAAAATTCACTGACTTAAAACTAACCCTATTTCTACATATTAAGCTAGGAAAAAAGGTACTCATAAAGCAAGCCCTCTGAATTATCAATTATTTTATAAGAACAATATACAGAAAATTTGAATCTCACATGCTGGGATCTAAGTATTAATATGCACTATGATTCCATGTAATAGTTTCTAAATCTATTCATAGCATATTGCATATCTTTATTTCTCAAGGTATAGATGCCTGGATTTAAGAGAGGTGTAATAACTGAATAGAACACAGCAAGAAATTTGTCCACCCAGGTGATACTGAGTGGCCATACATAGATAAAGATACAGGGTCCAAAGAAGAGCATCACTACTGTGATGTGAGCGGTGCAGGTAGAGAGGGCCTTGGATGCACCAGTTTTAGAGCTTTTGTAGACAGTGAGAAGAATATATGTGTAGGATATCAGCAATAGAATAAAGCAGGTCATAGCCAGAACTCCACTGTCACCATTCATTAAAATCTCCAAGTTAGAGGAATCCATGCAAGCCAGCTTGAGCACCAGTGGTATATCGCAGAAGAAGCTGTCTATTTCCTTTGGGCCACAGAAAGGCAGCTGCACAATTACAGCCATTTGGCTCAAGGCATGCACAAAGCCAATGGTCCAGGAAATCACTACCAACCCAGTGCACTTTTGCAGGCTCATAATGGTAGTGTAATGGAGTGGTTTACAGATGGCCACGTAGCGGTCGTAGGCCATTACTACAAGAAGCACCATCTCGCCTCCTCCAACAAAATGCACAAACAGGACCTGGCACATGCAGCCTCCAAAGGAAATGGTCTTTTCCTCCCTGAGGAAGTCTGTGATCATCTTAGGAGTGGTGACCGAGGAAAGCCACATGTCGACGAAGGACAGATTGGCCAGCAGGAAGTACATGGGGGAATGGAGATGTGAGTCAGTGATGATTAAGATGACGATGAAAACATTTCCAGACACGATGAGCAGATAAAGCATCAAAAATATCACAAAGAGTAAAACTTGAGTGTTCCATGACTGGCAAAGTCCCAGAAGCACGAATTCTGACACTGTAGACTGATTTCTTAAATCCATTTAGTGTGTTCTTTAAAATAACCTAGAAATAAAGATTTAGAGTTTTGCACTGAAAGCTGCATCTAAGAGAGAGAGAGAGAAAAATAAATGGGAAGAGAAACATGGAATACCAACATATAGTATTATGCTCCAAAGAGATGTTAATTGCTTAAGACTAATTTTTCTAGAAATAGAACTTAAGGCGGGAATGTTAATAAAGTGACTGAGACTTTAGGAAAAAGGAGTGAGGAAAGCAGGTTAAAGGCTGAAAAAAACCCAAAATTTTGTCAGGAAATTAGCTTCAGTTCTGAATCCAGTAAAAATGTGGTGAAGTACCACCAACATTACATTAAATTACAAAAATATATGTAGGAAGATGACAGTAAGGTGATATTGAATTCCCCTACAAATGCCCTGATACAATATTGCTGTTTTTCTTAACCATGTATAAAGATTTCTGCAAGGTTCAGTTGAATTTTTACTGTAATAAAATAAAAAAATTAAATGCTTAGTTTATCATTCTAAATATTGAGATAATAGATCACACAGTAGCATCATTTTCTTCAAGAAAATTCTTGATTTTCTTCTACATTTCTTCAGTGACACATTAATCATTCACCAGCATGTTATTTAACTTCATGGTGTTGTTAATTTCTTTTTTCTTCCTGTTGCTGATTTTTAAAATTTCATTTTATGACAGTTTCATAGGCTCTGGATTTCCCCCAACCCCTCCCCAAGCCTTCCCCCCATGTTAGATTCCTCCACATTACAGTCCATATCCAGTCATAGTTCTTTCATTGCGGGTGTGTACCATGCATAGAGTCCAGGTCCTATTGTCGAGATAAATTCAACAGTTTCATTGGGAGATCTTCCCCGGTCTGAAAGTAGAGCTGGAAAATATCATCCCCTCCAATGTAAAGCTACAACACACATCACTAACAATTTATAACATCATGGAGTTAATTGACATGGTATTGAGTAACCAATATGTTAGGAAATGCAAGTGGTTTTTCGTTTAAGGGGCTGTATAGTAACTGTGTAATGGAGACTTTCTTATCTAGTAACATGTTATTTAACTCCATGGTGTTGTAAATTTCTATTTTTCTTCCTATGGTTGATTTTGTATTGTGGCTTTTCATTTAAGAGGATGTCATGTGTAACTGTGTCATGGAGACTATCATATCCAGATGAGGATACAATGCACTATGCATCTCTATTTCCAGACTAAAGATGGACACCCAAAGAAATTGTTCACTATACCTTGATAATAGGATGCTGGACTTTGTCACTGTCCATGCCCACAATAATCGACATATGACTGTGTATGAAGAACTATACTTTAGTAATGATACAGGGGAACTCAGTGGGTGGGGGGAGGGAACTGGGGAGGGGATAAGGGAAATCCCAGGGCCTATGAGATTGTATCATAAAATGATAATAATAATGTAAACAAACAAAATGAAAAAGAAAAATATGATATATAATTCAGAAAGAAATTAGGCAGAAGGATATAATATATATGTGATAGAATGAGACAAAGCTTGATGCAGTTTCCTGGTAATCCATGGGTGAGGTAACAGATCGTGAGCTATGTACTTGGGTTTCAGGAGTCCCTGGCCCCTGAGTCCTAACTACAGACTGACCCAACTTCAGCTTTTGTGGGCATTTTTGAAACTATTCACCAGATACAGCATGCTCACTTTCTCTTTCTCTCTCCATGTCTGTCTCTCCCTCACTTGCTGGGTCCTGTCTGTCAAATAAATAAGTACATTTTAGAAAAGCTTAGTTATCGCAGCAAGGTGGAGAAATCCACCATGGGGAGAGGGTTCAGGGAGGGGTTGGGGGAATCCCAGTGCCCATAACACTGTGTCACATAATGCAATGTAATTAAAAAAGCTTAGTTATCATCACTCATTTACATCCCCTTATATTGACGGTTTTGTAAAATGAGCATTATTCTTAAGCTGGACATTGGAAAGATAATTTCCTGTTTTCATTTCTCTTTTAATAAGTATCTCTCTTCTTGTTATTTCGCTTTAAATCTAGTAAATTATGTTTTGAAATCTCTAAAGCAATACCAAGGACAGTCGGGCATGGAAACAGTTACTACATAATGGACATGATTTTCTTCCTGCTTTATGCTAGAATTCAGAGGTATAGATTATAAACAGGAATAGTTTTCCTTAAGAAATTAGGTAAAGCATATTTTCTGCAAAAAAAGGAGATGTAGGATAAAATTTCAAATATCAAACACATGTATCCTCCATATTGAGGACATGTCCAATCTCTTGTTTTCCAAGAAATCAATATTTTTTCCCTTTACTCTTACTTTTGCTCTTGCCAGGAGAGGTTATAGAATTTTAAAAAGAACCACAAGAGGCAATGGGGCATCTCATTTATGCATCTTTGAATTGCTTACTTTTAACTCAAAATTGTTACAAACTTGAATAGTCATTCTGGGATCAATGGAGTTGAAAAGTTAGGGAAATGAGATATGTGGAATTTCCGTTTTAGGAGATGTAGCACAAGGAATAATAATATAATGATGCCGCCTATGATCACAAGTTACAAAAAGACAGATATTACATGGTCTCACTTCTACATGTACTCTAAAAGGCCAAACACACACAAACAGAGGGTGGAGAAGGAATGAGAGGATGTGGGTCCAAGAATCCAGTCTCAGGCAGGAGGAATTAAAGCTCTTTACTCTAAGGCACAGCAAGGTGACTCTGTAAATACATAGTATGAAGTACTTTAACATGACTAAGAGTGAAAATTGAAATGCCTCACTCACAGTAAGATATTATACAAGACAGACATTTCAAATAGCAAATAAGAGGAAACTCTGAAAAGCTCATAGAAAAATAGAATTCATGAAAAATTGCTGAAATTTATGCATATTATTTAGTAGTAAACATTTCTGTGGACTTTCTGAGGTCCCTCCCATTTATTGTAACATTGAGTTGTACCCTACATTATATGCAGTTATTATTTATAAATTGAGAAAAAATAAAACATGACAGCAAAATGTTTTCCCTTTTAGGTACAGCATCTCCCCGTGAATTCTTTTTTTTTTTTGTAATAATAACTTTAAATGTTTAAAAATTATCTTGAAATCAGTCACAAAGTAATGAACTGATGTATTCAAACCGTGCTTCCTGAAGACCAGATGCTCTTTTCTTGCCTTCCGATGCGTACTTGAGACCACTTGACTGTGGAGTGCAGACAGGAACTGTGGAAGCACTTTCCCTCAGCCATACATATATTGAACACTTGAAGAGGTCCCCTGGGCGAAATGTGCATACTCTATGTTCTGGGAAAAACAAGAATAATGGGATATTTTTACTTAGAATATCTCCTGGAGACTTTGTGAAGAGTGATATCAATTGGCAATGCACTGGAATATCGAATGCAGAGACAAGAGAAACCTCAATAAATCAGTCCAGCTAGAATTATTGTAGTTTAAAAACATGATCACTGTAAGTGATGTAAAGATGCTGTCTGGGATATTAAACTGAAACTTGACCTCTTGCAATCTTAGCCCTGATTTTTGTAAAAAAGTTCACTTACGTTTTTTGGAAAGGCAGATTTTTTTTTTTTAACAGAAATAAGGAGAGACAGAGAGAAAGAATGTCCAGCGGCTGGTTCACTCCCCAAATGGCCACAATTACCGGAGATGAGCCGATCTGAAGCCAGGGACCAGGAGTTCCTTGGAGTTTCCCACATGGGTTCTGGGTCCCAAGGTTTGGGCCATCTTCTGATGCTTTCTCAGGCCACAAGCAAGGAGCTGGAAGAGGATTGGAGCAGCTGAGCCATGCACTATTGTCTGCATGGGATATCAACACTGTAGAAGAGGCTTAGCTGATTGAGTCAATGTGCCAGTCCTTCATTTCAGATTTCTAATTTCAGCTGTGAGCCAAATCATATTCTGGTATGAAATAGGAACATTTGTTAAAATCTGCTCTATAATTCTAAAGACTAGTGTATTTTAAGGCTATCTAAATAGATGAATGATATTTGTTAACTGATTTTCAAAAATATTATCTGCGATGACTTAACATCTAGTGTTAAACGGTGACATAAATTTGTTAATCTATTTTTTTCTATTTAAAAGCAGGACCTTGGGCCTGGTACAATGACTCGATTGGCTAATCCTCACCTTACACACCCTCTGATCCCATATGGGTGCTGGTTTGTGTCTCAGCTGCACTACTTCCCATCCAGCTCCATGCTTGTGGCCTGGGAAAGCAGTTAAGGATCAGCCAGAACTTGGAACCCTGAACCTGTATGGAAAGTCTGGAAAAAGTTGCTGACTCCTAGCTTTGGATTGGCTCAGCTCCGGCCATTAGGACCTCTTGGGGAATGAACCAGTGGATGAAATATCATTGTCTTGCCTTCTTTCTTAAAGTTGTCCTTTCTAAGAAAAATAAATAAACCTTCAAAAGGAAGACTTAGATGTTAGTCTACAATTTATTTATGGTGATTACTGAGATTTTAAGACACTTTTATTATGAAACATTTGACATATCATTAACTGCTCATATCTAAAGCATACACACATGTAGAACCATGGAAAGGCCATCACCAGCAAGACAGTGAGCAAATGCTGCAAACACATTCTCCTTCCCCAATAACTAATTTGTATTGGGCTACTACTGCCAATTTCTACATTTTAGAATTTATATAAAATATGCATAGTGGTGTGTACTCTTACATTCTTGGTTGGGATGGTCTGGCTTTTTCACCTACTTAAATTGATATTTAGCATATCATGTACATCAGTAATGGTTTTCTTTTTATTGCTGGATAGTATTCCACTGTGTGTTCATGCATACCCACTCATCTACTGAAAGGCATTTGTGTCATCCTGAGTTTTGGCGAACACATATAAATCTGTTGTAGTTGTTAGAAACATCTGTTTTCAGATTATTGACCAGGCATAGACTGTTGATTCTTTTTGAATAACACCAAGCAGCACAACAGCTGAACCCTAAACTGAGTGGTATTGTTTTTTTTCAAGAAGCCACTAAAATGTCCTTCAAGATGACATCATTTGGGACTCTCACCAGTAGTGAAGTTTCTTCTTGCTCTGTCTCCTCACCAGCATTTAATGTTGTCAATAAGCTAGATTTTTGCTGCTTTCATTTGTTCATAATGGGACCTCATTGCTGTTTTGATTTTCATTTCTGCAGTGCCAAAGGATGTAGTATTATTTTCATGCACTTATTTTCCAACTATATACTTCTTTTGGTGCAATATCTAATAATGTCTGTTTTCTAGTAAGGTTGCTTTCTTATTTTGAAGTTGAGGGGTTCCCTGCGGAATACTTAGGATAACATTTCTTATAGTTACTCTGTGTGTGTGTGTGCCTTTTCTTCCTTCCTGTCACTGTCTTCTCATGATCTCAGTATCATCTTTTGTAGCTGGATTATTAAAATTTTGCTGAAGTTCACCATATAGATCTTTGTTTCGTGTATTGTGTGTTTGGTGTCTTACCTAAAAAAGTTACTACCAAGCTCAAAGCTTACATACATTTCTAACATTTCTAGGAGTTTTAGATTTGTGTTTGTAATTTCTTTGAGTTCTTATGATGGATTTTAAGTCTGGGAGTATATTACTTTTTTTGCTTGTGGATATTTATTTTTTTCAGTGTCTTTCGATGAAGAGGTTCAACTGTTATGCTATATTTGGCCCTTTGTCAGAAACCAGTGTCTGACTGTACTTCTATTTATATATTGTCTCTGTTCCATGCTATTGACTTATGTATCTGCTCTTTTTCCAGTGTGACTTATACTAATTATCTAGTGTTACAGTAAGTCTAGAAGAGAGTAGTGGTCGTGCTTTGACATTTTTTGTTTTTCTCCTTTTATTTATTGTCTTTGTGTGTTTTGATACTTAAAATACACTAATAAGTGGATTGTAATTGGATATATATCTATGAGGTTTGTTTGCTGTCTTCTTGCTTTGTGATCTTATGGATTATTTAGATTTTGACTTAACATTTTTAATTATAAGACAATACAATCCATGTTTTTCCCTTTTACACCATTTAGTCAGAAAATTCGAAAAAGCTACACAAATAGCACTTAATACTCAAGCTGAACTATTGAAGAAGTTCATATAGAGATGCTTAGTATTCTGAGTAGGAAAGTTTACCTGAAATGAACAAAGAATAAGACATAATGGTTGAATTTGTGTACACATGAGAATGAGTTACTTCACAATCAAAGGACAGGCAAACAGTTGATTGCTAGCCTAAAATACTATAAACAAGCAGGTATGCATCTATGCACTTCAACTGCACACTCATAAATCTGCACTACATAATCTCATTAGACTGAAATGTATGCCACTTTCTGCAGTTATTTTATTTGTTATTTTATCCGGGTTTGCAGTATTCTTTTACCGTAATTGTTAGGAGTTAATTTTCTGTTATATTCATCAAGATCATTGAATAGATGAGTAGACTTGGAAATCAAGGTGAACTCCAAGCTTTAAACAAAGAAAAAAATACAGGTATGTTACCCTGAGAAAATTTAATTCATATTTTTGAATCTCATAAAAGCATTTTAGGTAAGACATATAACAGAAGGTAAAGAATTGGAAGTCAAGTGCTGCAATAGCGTTGTTCATCCTGCTAATTTTTGTGATTTTTGATTCCACATTTACATATATAAAAATCACACATTTGCCATATTTTTGTATTAGAATTTTAATGTTGATTATTACAACTAAATTGCAATATGCTTAGTAGACTTAATTCTAGAAGAAGAAAAATGCATATGATGTGGAGACAGACTCTTGCCCTCAGCAGCTCAGGTGCCTCTGTGCTGTATCAGAGTGCCCAAGATCGGCTGCCCAGCATTGATCCTGCTTCCTGAAAATATTGACCTTGAAAGCAGCCACAATGACCCAGTGTTGGCTTTCTTCCACTCATGTGTGATCCCAGTTTTGCCTCCTAGGTTTGACTTACACACTGGGATTTGAGGAATAACCACTAAAAAGGAGCTTTCTCTATGAGTCTTTGAAAACTTTATTTATGATCTTAAGCCTGGATTTTTTTTTTAATATTAGAGTTATACAGCATCACCAATTAATTTAATAAGAACAGTTTAGAGATCCATTAGATTGAAGAATACTGTATGAATACTAATGCTAGAATTGCTTTTTCAAAATATTTCTTTTAATACTTACAAATTTTAAATTTGAAAACATCTCTATATTTAATTATTTGAAAGTCTGAGAGACGGGGACAGAAAGATAACTTTCACGTGCTCCAAATGCTCCAAATGCTTGCAACAGAGGGGCTTGACCATGATTAGGTCAGAATCATAAATTAAGTCTTGGTACAAAAGCATGTGAGCCTTCCTGCTGCCTCCCAGGTTGTGCATTATCAGGAAGCTGAATGGGATAGTAGGTCTGACGCTTGAATTCAGCACTCCAGTATGGGCTGTAGGTACCCCAAGTATTAACTTCTACGTCAAATGCTCACACCACAATCAGCAAAATATGATGTCTCGCTTGAAGCATGGATAGAAATGTATACTGATGAACTCAGGAAAGGTAATACTTCCTTCTCTTTGTCATTATGTTGTGGATGGTGCCTTGAAGCTTCTCTAACATTCCAAATGCAAGTACTTTAGTGAACATAGACAAATAAATGACATGCATGTTTGGATACAAGTATCCACTGATGACTTGTTAAAATACAATGATTCGCTGTGGTTTTCTTTTTATCTAATGACATAGATATTCTAGTATCATACTTAATCATGTAGTCTTCAATACCTGACCTCAAAAATAATAAATTTCAGGAATTTAAATCCACAGAATAGTATTAACTTACAGAGCAAGTATAGACCTTGAGGCTGAAATAATTGCATCAAAAGTATTAGGTTTTATATTATTTTTTTTCCTCTTATTCAGTTAGATCAAAGCTAACGGCCATCTCTGTAGCTATTATCTGTATAATTTATCATTTTTATTTAATCATATTTCATTTTCCCCCTTGCCTATTTCCATTAATGTTTGGGTAACATTAGGTTAAGAGGATAAAATACAGGAACCAGTGTGTTGGCTTAGTGCTAAATCCTCACCTTGCACGCACAGGAATCCCATATGGATGCTGGTTCATGTCCCAGCTGTTCCACTTCCCTTCTAGCTCCCTGCCTGTGGCCTGGGAAAACAGTAGAGGATGGCCCAAAGCCTTGGGATCTTGTGCCTTCGTGGGAAACCTGGAAGAGCTCCTGGATCCTGGCTTCGGATTAGAGCAGCTCTAGCCTTTACAGTCACGTGAGTAGTGAGCCAGCGCATGGAAGATCTTTCTGTGTCTTCTTCTCTCTGTGGATCTGCCATTCTAATAGAAATACGCAGATTTTAAGCAAACAAAAAAGATTCAAAAAAGGTAAATTGATTTATCAAAAGCAAAACTTGAAGGTGATGTCAATGTTACAAACATGTTCTCCCTAAGAAAGACAGGAGAAAATTGCAGGAAAATTCACAAGGTGTTTTTCAATGGGATGGTTGCACACTTTTGCTAAAATATTTAGATATCATTTAACATGGAATAAGACATGGGAAAGCTGATTGCCTAACTTCCAAATAACCAAAGAAACATTAAGTCTCCAGACAGTTGTGTTTTCCCTAGGAACACATGTAGCTTCGGAATCTCTTCATAGCATTTCTCATCTCTTTATTTCTCAGAGTATAAATGATCGGATTTAGGAGAGGTGTGAACACAGAGTAAAACACAGCAAGAAATTTGTCAATCCAGGTGATGCTGAGTGGCCATACGTAAAGGAAGATGCAGGGCCCAAAGAAGAGCACCACCACAGTGATGTGGGCAGTGCAGGTAGAGAGGGCCTTGGATGCTCCAGTCTTAGAGCTTTTGCAGACGGTGAGAAGAATATATGTATAGGATATCAACAAAAGGACAAAGGAAGTAATGGCCACAAACCCACAGTTAACATTCATGAAAATGTTTAAACTACGGGTATCCATGCAGGCAAGCTTGATTACCAGTGGCCTGTCACAGAAAAAGCTATCTATTTCCTTGGGGCCACAGAAGGGTAACTGTACAATAAACACAATTTGACTGAGGGCATGCACAAAGCCAATGGTCCAGGCAGTCCCCACCAACCCAGTGCACCTTTGCAGGCTCATAATGGTAGTGTAATGGAGTGGTTTACAGATGGCCACATAGCGATCGTAGGCCATTACTACAAGAAGCACCATCTCAAGTGCAGCAATGCACTGGGCAAAGAAGATCTGGCACATGCAGCCTCCAAAGGAAATGGTCTTGTTCTTCTGCAGGAGGCCTGTGATCATCTTAGGAGTGGTGTTAGAAGAAAGCCACATGTCGACGAAGGACAGATTGGCCAGCAGGAAGTACATGGGATAGTGGAGATGAGGGTCAGTGATGATTAAGATCACAATGACAATATTTCCAGATACAATAATGATGTAAAGTGTGGAAAATATCACGAAGAGTAAAACCTGAATATTCAAGGAATGGAAGAGCCCCAGAAGTACAAATTCTGACACCGTGGACTGATTTCCATGATCCATTTGATTCAGTCGTGTCCTCTATAGTCACCTAGATATGACAGATTATCTGTTAGTGGGATGGCAAGGAAGCATTAATTTTTAGAGTGTAGTGTATACATCGAAAGTTAACATCTATCTAATGAGTGTAAAGATTAGCTGTAAACAGAAATTTTGAACAAATGAAAGCTCCTTTGCTCTTGATTCTTGGTACCCCAAGTATTAACTTACAATTGACTGTGACTGAATCTAAAAGAAGTCAAGCCTGAGATGAGCTTGCACTGTCCACTTCACAAAAACGAGATTAAGAAGCCAGGGCTGCGGGAACTATGCTTAAAAAAGATTGTAGTGTCCTGGAAATTAGTCCTCTCATACTAAGAACTCAGAAGCACTGATTGAGACAAACCAGAAGGAAAACTTTCCTACAGAAATTATACACATCTTTGCTGCAGACAAAGACATAGTTAATAGCCTCACAATTTACAAATAAATATATCCAATACAATAAAAAAGTTTTTTAATTGCTAAAGAAAATATAATGATACTACTCACAATATATTCATGTCTCTGTTTCCCAAGTGTAAGTGACTGAATTTTTAAAACAGCAATTACTCGCCCCCCAAGGTGAGGTTGAGTGGCTACACGGAGATGGTGATGTAGGAACCCAGGAGGAGCAGCACCACTGTGAAGTGGACCTTGTAAAAAGGAGGGGTGTTCGACTCATCTGTTTGGAAAACCTGCACAGTCTGAACTTTTTCTTAAAGCAGTTTTTCTTACCAATACTCAAAAGCTTCCAATGACTAATTCTGTACCCATTGAATAAGTGATAGAAAAGAAACTTGTAAAACAAGGACTCCAACTGCGCTTGGCATGAATTTGCTCATTCATAATATGTGCATTGCTATAGGAAAACTCACAAAGGAGTAATGTTTATCAGTTTTGCTTTTGCTAATATTTCATAATATCAGCAGACTGAATACACAAGGGAACTTCAAACAGAATTGAAATGTTTATGTTAATGGAAAAGTTTTGGAATGCACACATGATTCTTTTGTAATGTACCTTTTCTGTGAGTATTATGAAATTATATACTTATTCTATTATTTTTAAACCAATGTTTAGGAGAATTATAGGATAACCATAAATTTTTATTTGCAGATGCAGGCTGAGAACTTATTCTACTAGTGATCTGACCTTGTTATCCCAAGCTAACCCTATTTCTGTTTTTGTTCTGTTTTTTGTAAAATAGTACATTGAAATTGACAGATGGGAAGGTAAATCAAAACACACAAAAACCCATTTAGAACACAGTGAATCATAATATTGTTTTCTCCTGGATCAACTATGATTGATTTAAAAGAATAGTGTTTTTAAGTTCATTGGAGATAATAGTGTTCATCTGCATGATTGATCATCCAGTTATGTATGACACATTTTCTTTAAAACAGTTACTGGGAACGTTTCTCTAAATTAACATACACACACTCAGCCACCTTACAGAATGTATGATGCAAGGAGCAGGTTGTACTTGCTGTTTGTTTTCTAAGAAGTCAAAATAACTTTTCAATCTGTCTTCTCTCAAGTAAAGTTACCAATATGTAAATGGAACCTCAAGGAGGCCATAGAGCATTCTTTTAAAGAATCTTTGTAATTCTCACTTGTAACACAAAAACTATTCTCTTAGGAGTGTGAAGATGTGAAACAAACTTTTCATACCTTCTAAATGCAGTGACTTTCCATTTGTACTTTTCTCTTTAAATACCACTAAATTGTCTGAGTCCATCCCTATTTGTATTTTACTATGAGATGTATGTTCTCAGATAATTGAACAGATTTATTGAGATATTCATTTAATGAGGTAATGGGGAGAAAGTGCCCCACTTGCTCAAGCTACCTTCCTTTATTTTCAGGTATGTGTTTTACCCTCTTGAGCATATATTTATATTGTGACTTAGACATGTTCTTTCCCCAAAGAAACTCAGAATACAAAGAATATTTTTTAGCCAAAAGTAATGCAAAGTAAAAGCACAGGATTATCAGAATTAGTATTCTACTGTCTACTTGAAACTCATGCTAGTTTGAACTTGGGAAAATTCTATTACTCTTTCTTAACCTTGCGTTCCTCAGATATAAAGTAGAGAGAATCACAAACTGGAAACTCTGCTAATGAACTTCTATTTACTTACCTCATTTAATTAACTACCAATTTCCATTCCGTCTGTGAAATACGCTGATGATCAAAAACATTTTTTTTGTGATCATATTTGCATTGTATGAACGCTTTAATGAATTATTTTTGAACTTTGGAAATATGAATATGCAGATAGTTTCCTATAATATTATCAGTTCTTATTATTCATGTTTACTCTTCTTTTTTTCATCTCCATAGTTTATGTTTTATGCTCTCCTGCTGTGAAAGATTTTTATCTTAAATGAGAAGGCTTGTTTAATCAGAGATCACTTATTTCAGATGGCCACTAAACCCCATGTCTCCCAAGGTGGACCTGAACAAGTTTTTCAGACAGTATATTTTGGTGGTGATTGCCCTTGTGCTAATGATCATAGAAAATCCAGGAAGAATAGGACAGGAAGAAAAAAATCTCAGAATATTTTTTCTGAAAATGCCAAAACTTAAACTAGTCATTTTTAATTCCATGAAAAGTAGACATGTGTGAAATGTATCCATAGAAACATTGTAAGAATCATCTTAAAGAAGAGAATCAGAGAGGTGGAATGACTTACGAAGCACAAAGTTCTTTAAGATCAGATTCCCTTAGTCTGGTCCTGTGGTGTGTGCCTTAGATATGTCCTTTGCTGTGTAACTGTCCCTCAGCCTCACATATGTTCACAGCGTGGGGTGATCCCTTGGGTGAAATTATCCAACAGGACTGAACAGATATTGCTGAACAGAACAAGAATCATGGAAATAATTATCTTGGTCATCTCTTTGGGACTTCTTTGTTGTTAAGAATAATTCCAATCATTGCATCTTTTGGAAAACTGAATAGGAAAAGAGAATCTCATGTGAATTGTTCCAGCTCTAAACAAGTGGTTTTAAAAATATTTTTGATGCTAATACTAAAGATACAGCGTCTACAATTGTAATGCATTATCTGATTTTGAGTTACATAATGCAATCAATGAGTATTTCAGTTTTATTGGTAGAAGAAATTGTGTCCTGTTATTGATATAAAATCACCAAGGAGCCTCTGATATCGAGTGAATTTCCTCATGCATGCCTTGGCTGTCCAAGTAGCAGTAAATTAATTTATTGTCTTGTTTCAATATAATTTCTTTTTTAAAACTGATTTGTATTGTTCTCCATAATACAGTTTTGTAGGTGTAAGGATTCCCCTTTGCCCTGCCCTTTCTGTCTCCTTGTTTTCCCCTCCCACCATTTTCTCTCATATTATTACAGAAAATAATATTTCTGATTAACTGGGATTCTGGGTTTTAAATTATTAATATAACTTTAGACTTTAAGATAAGAGCACTGATGGGTATTTATAACATATTTACTATATGTTAATCTGTTCATTGTTTTCTGTACCGATTGTGCTAAAGACACTTGAAGAAGGATTCCCTTTTCTCCAAATCCTTACCATCACTTTCATAGTTTTGATAATAACCAATGTGATTGTAGTGAGGTGATATCTCATTTGACTTTTATTTGCATTTCCTTGATTGTTAGTGGATGATAGTGAATGATTTTTAAAATATCATTTTGGCCATGTGTTTGCCATCATTTGAGAGATTTTTTAAAATCTACTATTCATTTGTGCGTATTGCTTGGTGTGTGTATGTTTGCTATTGAGTTGCTTAAATTTTTTGTACATCAGTTATTAATCCTTTCTCGGGTATATACCAAGAAAACATCTTGTCCAACTGTATAGGTCTCCAGTCTGGTGAATAGCCATAACACAGAGAACTTTCAGGGCAGTAAAACCACTTAAATATTATATATATGTCCAAACTACTGGGATGTACAACATCAGAAAGTAAACCCTACTAAAAGTTAGCATCATTTTTTAAAATAAATTGGGGTGTGGCATTGTGGCACAGTGAGTTCTGTCGTTGTCCTGCAATGCCAGCAATCCCTCCGTGTAGTTGCTCAAGTGCTGGCACCTCGAGTTGTAATACAGCTTCTTGCTAATGCAACTGGGAAAGCAGAAGGAGATGGTCCAACTATGTAAGGGCTTAAGTTCCTGTTTAAGTATCTATTTAAGTACAACAAAGTTTTTGTTTTGCATACCCATAATTTTAAGCTCTATTGTACCGGATGTCTTGTTGCCAAGGAAGGATTTCTTTCATAATAGTAAAGATTAATTATAGCCAGTGAAACTGAGATAACCAAAGGTGTAGCATTAAGTTTCATTTATTTGCTTTTGTACCTTTATTGAATTAATGGAATTCAAGAAGCCTCCACATGTATTGCCTTTGCAGTCTAACATTTTCTTTAATTCTCTTTTCTGTTTATCAGTAGAATAAGATACAAAATTAAAGAAAAAATGATTTTCTGTTGTTTCTTGACAAGCTAGATGAAAGTTTTGAGTACACCTGCTAATGCTAGAGAAAGATGTGCTTCCAAGATTGTTCTGTGGAAGTTCAAGAGAAATTAAATAAAATGTTTTTCAGCAGGATAGAAGTTTATCTTTGTGTATGAAAAAAACCAAGAAGCATAAAGAACTTAGAGCCTCCTTTAATCTGGTTGAAAGCATAAAAAGATTAAGGGATAATTTTCCCGTGGAAGACTGATGGATTTCTAGGCAGCAAATATTTCCTCAGAGTCATGCATTAGCATCCAAACCTCGTCACAGAATTTCTAATCTATTTAGTTCTCAGAGCATAAATAATAGGATATTAACTAACTGAGCTAATTGTAAAATTCTCTTACAAATGATTGCTAGATTTCTTGGCCCTAAGTGTATTCCTTAGAATCTGTGTAACAGCTTCTAAATCTCTTCATAGATTTTCTCATCTCCTTATTTCTCAGAGTATAAATGATTGGATTGAAGAGAGGTGTAAAT